TGAGTTGTGTGCTGCACTAAAAAAAGTTGGTTCTTTCCCGTTAAGAAGACGCAGCTCAGAAGACAATAAAAGACGTTCAATAACACCACCCCGGGAGTCTTGACGGGCACTGCCCCACATGGGATGATGAGCGTTAAAATCACCCAAAACTAAAAACGGTTGAGGAAGCTGTCCTACAAGTCCCTGTAGCTCTTGAAGATTGAAAGGAATATTTGGTGGTAAGTATAAAGAAACAAGCGTTACAAGGCGGTCCACGAGGAGACGCACTGCAACAGCCTCCAGAGGTGTGCGGAGTGGAACTTGACAGCAAGCGACTCCACTCTGCACAACCACCGCAACGCCACCAGAAGGACTGGAAGCAGGACGGTCTTTCCTAAAAACCTGATGACGTCTTAAAATGTTAAAAGAATTAGAGTGAAGATGAGTTTCTTGCAAGGCAAGAGCGATGGGTCGAAGCTCATCCATAAAATGATTGACATCATCAATATTTCTTAAAATACCGCGACAATTCCATTGCATAAAATGTAACTTTGTCATCTATTAAAAAAGTGTGTAAATATGTAAATATAAGGAGATAAAACCTAGCAAAATAAATAAAACTATGGAGAGCCAACTCGAGCTAGGTGGAAGATGTGATCACAATGCAACCGCTATCGGGGCTATCACTTGGGCGCTACTACAGGTTGCTTCTTTTTAGATTTACGAGAAGCTGTCTCCCATTCCATACCATCCTGGTCGGACCCAGGAGTAGACTGACTGTCAGCATCAGTTGGTATTTTCATGTCCTGTGAAGTGTCTGGTGGATGGAGCATGACAGAGCTAGTCCGGCCTGACACGCGTGGGGGAAAACCCCGGCCACGACCGGATGGAGGAGTGGCGGACGAACTGGGCGAGGGGTCACCCAAGCTTGTCTTCCCACCTCCTTTCACAGGAGCTGCATGGGTACCATGCTGCTCCTTCGGTAGGGGGACCCTCTCCAGCGAGCAGGAGCGAGAAGCTCGCTCCTTCCTAGAAGGGGACCTAGGAGAGGGGACAGGCGCGGCAGCTGCCGGCCTGTCCTCGGATGGAGGGGCAGCACGCGTGCTACCACCAGGGACTGGGGGAAGCTGCTGCTGCCCCTGTCGGGGAGCTGGGGCCCTGAGGTCGGCCGCCAAGATCTCGGGAGAGACCTGGCAGGCCCTTGACTCCGAGCGCGGTGCAGGGCCCCTGCGCACCGCCTCAGCATAACTACCCTTTGACAAAAAGGAAAAACGCTTTTTTGCTTCCACGTATGTAATATTTTCTTTGACTTTCAGGGCAAGAATATCTTTTTCTTGCTGAAAGAAAGGACAGCTGCGGTAGTAAGCGGGGTGTGGTCCACCGCAGTTAGCGCAATGGGCCACGGCCTCGCAAATGTCGGAGACGTGGCCTTGACTTCCACACTTTGCACATGTCTCCCTTCCGCGACAGCTGCGTGACCCGTGGCCAAAACGCTGACAACGGAAGCACCGCTGTGGGTTGGGGACATAAGGGCGGATCCGGCAATTAAGGTACCCTGCTTTGATTGTCTCTGGTAGAGTGTGTCTCTCGAAAGTCAAAATAACATGCTTAGAGGGAATTTCTTCACCATTCTTTTTAAACATTATTCGTTTGACGGCGATGACACCAGAGCCTTCGAGGCCCTCAAGAAGTTCATCCTCACTGGTATGAAGGAAGTCATCCTCAGAGAGGACACCACGAATGGTGTTAAGTGTACGGTGAGGGCTCACCGACACTTTCAAGTCAACGATGTTGGTCATCTTAGAGAGTGCTTCACTTTGTTTTTTTGTTTCTACCTCCACAAGGAGGTCTCCACAGTGGAGCTTCTTAGCCTTATAGGAGAACCCTACAAGGTGCTCAAGAACTTTCGCTACAACAAAGGGTGAGAGCTTTGCAACTGGTTTCTGTTCATCCAGCGAATGAACGACAAAAAACTTTGTAAAGGTTTCTTCCTTAGATTCCTTTTGAATGGTTTTGTGTTCAAGGCAGCGCCTTTTAAAGGCTTGCCCTGAACGGGGTTTGGAGGGGTGGGGCGCCATAGGAGGGCAAAGAGTGTTCGGTATCCGCGGTGCACCGCCCACCACCGAGCCCAACAAGGGGTTAGGTAACGCACCATAACAAGAAGGGCTTGGCTGGAGACGTTACGCTAACAGTGCTGCCGGGAAACTATACCCAAGTGTGGGTCAAGACAGAGGTCCATTGCCACCCAAGGTTAGCCCTTGCCGCCAAAGAGGGGTGAAAAATGAGTAAGATAAGTAAGAGAGAAGTAAAGGAAGCAGGAAAGGTAAAAGTGAAAGATCGGAGTGGATAGTAGAAGAAATGGCGACTAGACTGAATCATCCTGGCCGGGCCTTACCAGGACTCCCGTCTATGAGAAGCGGGGGCCGAAGTGGTGTATTGCCTCACCCGGGGGGCCCCGAAGGGTCCAAACCTGACCCGGGCTCGGCTCAACCACCAGGATTCCCTTTTCCCCAGACACGGGAAAGCCACGCACAGCCATACGTGGGCGGGCGAACCCGCATGGCTCGGGGTCCGTGGAGACGCCACTCTCCAAACACCTGCTTTCACAGGTGCCCCCTGCGGGGTGCCTAAAGGAATAAAAGGTTAGGCTAATATATATAATTCAGATAGTATTGCATATGGTTCGAAATTTGAAACTTATGATAGCGGTAAAAAGTTGGCCTCTCTACAAATATTTCAGGTTGAGGTATGAGGGAAATTTGTAGTTTTAATGAAACATTATTATACTAACGATTTCAACTATAGAGTCAACAGACAAAAACATCCGAGGCATTGCGAAACCTTTTCCATTCCTATGGCTTACACGAATTACGGAAGGCGTTTAAGAAACTATTATATTCCATTCTACTTTAATAAACATCCGCAAGAATTTTACGACTAGTCGTTTCAGAAAGACACAAAACAGAAATTGAAGGAGTGGCGCTCTCGTTATGTTTGAGGTGTTTACATACTGTCCTTTCATTTGCATGTTCACTTTACCAGTGCTGTGTTAACATTTTATAGCCTGATCTGAGTAAACTGTTTGTATTACCATTGTATTAATTATTTTGAGCACTCTGTTGGGTTGCCACGGTTCCGCACATAAGCGCTCGCGCGCTTATGCGGGCCTTCGGTCAAATTACGTACAAGAATGGCTCAATAAACGATTTATTATTATTATTATATTCTAAAGATGAAAATGCTCGAGTTCAATTACCGTTAAAAGAAAACGAAACCTAGAACTACTTTTTCTCGCGGACGGTACTGTTGCTGTGGCGGTGAGGAGGCCTCTGTTGCCTCGACCATGGAGTGTTCTCACGTGACTTGCTCCGTTCCTCTTGTTGGGTCGCGGGGGCCGCAGCCTCCACAGTTCGCCAAGTTACCGTGAAACGGAGTATAGCTTCATCATGCTGACAAAGACCGGGGAGCACATAATCTGTTGTGAATGAGCTGGGCACATGCAATGTCCGTGGCATCATAGAGTCACATGACTGTGGCATCACACAACGTCAGGGTGTAGCGTGACGTCATGATGCCACATGATATGCTGTCACGTGATACGGAATCACGTGACCTAGAGCAAATCTAGCAGATTGCATTTTTATAGCAATTCTACCAGACGGACACAGCGCTACCAAGCAGTGCTGTATTCCGTGCACTTCTTATACTTGTGTCGTTCGTTAATTTTTTTTTTTTGCGCCGGTTCCATTTTTACGATCATCAACCAACTCGCCCAACTTACCGCCTTGTTAGACCTTATACCTAAAGCGAGGTCATGATGTCAAGTGACGTCATAATTTTATTTGATGTCACGTGACGTCAAGTGACACCGTAACACCAGTCACATGATGTTACAACGTCACAAGGTGACATGACTAACAGCATACGACGTCGTGGTGTCATGTGACCCGACGTGGAGTTTTATCGTGATGATGTCACGGGACACTGAGATCACGTGACACCCTAACGTCATAATGGCGTCACCGTCACTTCAGCCTCCACGGTGGGCGTGGGTAGCAAGTCATCGCAAGCCTATTCGCTCCGTGCGACGCGGCTCGCGCGCCGCCGCGCCAGTCGCGTCGCACGGACTTTAAAATTTTAACTTTAATGGCATATATTGACGATGGGCAACACAATTTTAAGTAAATTGTACCAGCTGGGAGCAAATATTTAGAAAGGTAATTAGCAAATTTCCCGTCATTAAGTGGATATTTTTATTACGTCAGCTCGCTTTGCAGTTAATTATCACTTTATGCTATTTACCTGCGTACGTATTAGTCTATTACATCGCTCTACACGGTCAAGACCAGTGCATAGAGTATATCTAAATTCTGAACGCGGACATCGACTTCATCAAAGGATTGGCCCAATTTGTGTGAAGGACTGCTACGGGTGATGGGTGGCTAGACAAAAAAATGTCCTACCTGTTGTTTTATGCTTCTTCCTTTCACACATTTTCGCATAGAAACAAAAAACAACAAATGTCGCGAGTCGGTGTTGTGTGTGTGTTCTTCTCCTTGTTCTTGTGTTTATTTGTGCTGTTTACTATTATGCATACAACATTTCCACCCTGTATTGGAATAAAAATTCTTCTTGACCACATGTACTTACACTCAACACCAAACTTAAAAGACAGAACATGATAGTGACAAATGTGTTTCGAACTTCATTTAATTTATTTATCTAGAAACGCTGGCAATAATAAAAGCAAAACAAAAAAAAAAACAAAAAAACATTGGGTCATAAGTTTGTTAATAGATTCAACACGAAAATTAAGTAGGCTATAAAATATCTTTACTCAAAGATACATACGAGTTGGACATACGAGTTGCGCACCCATGTGCTTGGCTTTACATTTTTGACTGCCAAAGTCTAGTCTACATTCAATTTTGAATAATATAACTTATTCTTGTTCCATTAACAATGGTGCATTCAGGGGTGGTGCATTCAGGGGTCTACATTGACTTGTTACTTGCTTTCAGGTGCCAAATCAAGAGGAGTTACGGCAACTGTCTCTTACGTTTCAAAAGTGGTGAATACCCAAACTGTTGTCCTGGCCGTTCATTGTGTTAGAACACAACAGTCATAATAAAAAAGTCATTTTCGGTGTAGTAATTCATTCAGTCATTGAGTGCAACATATTTTTCATGTTGCTGTAGCAAAACGAAATTGAATGCTTCTAAGTAATCGTTCTTGTGTAAGATATTATGGAAGTAGTGTTATGATGGTGACTATGGTGATTAGGAGTTTATTGGCGCAGCAGCTACGACGGCCATAATGCGCCAAACTTAACGTATTTAGAGCATACTATAATCAAATTTTACTTTGAAACTAGATATTTACAAATGGTATAAATATCCAGTTTGTTTTAAAAAGTCTAAGACACGGCTGAAAGGGACTAAAGGTTTATCGCCAAGCAAAAACGAGGGATGAAATGGGAGATGATCCCTAAAAGTTCGAGAAAACATGATTGACGGAGTGGTTGATGGGACGAACAATGCCACAAAATGTGCAACACGGTCAGAAGCTCTCCACAATGTTCACATAGTGCAACCTCTTCACCACGAAGCAGATACTGATGTGTCACGCGGGAGTGACCTATTCTTAGACGGCACAGAAGAACCTCCAGACGACGTTTCCTGTTATAAGAGCTCTCCCGAACGCCCAGAACGGGCTTGATAATGCGAAGTTTGTTGTTGCTCTCAGTATCCCATTCAAGCTGCCATTTGAGAAAAATAGATTTCCTCAGAAGTGGTTTTAAATCTTGGTAGGGTAAGCAATTGAATGTTATAGATGAGCCTCGGGCAGACAGGGCCAATTTATCCGCCTCTTCATTGCCCAAAATCCCAACGTGGCTTGGCACCCAGCAGAACTTAATGTCGCGACCGCGTCGCAGGGCGCTGTTGATCTTACCATGTAGATGTTGTGCAAGGATATTCATTGTGGGCATCAGGGAGGACACAGCCAATAAGGCACCCTGTAAGTCGAAAAAAAATTCAGCTTTCATTATACTATTGTCGAGTATATGTTCGACCGTTAGTAAAATAGCATAAAGCTCTGCGGTGAAAATGCTTGCCCTACAGTCAACTTGTGTGGCTTTGCTGTAGGAGGCGGAATACAGAGCACATCCTACAAAGGACGACGATTTGGACCGATCTGTATAAAACTCCAGGTAGTTTGCATATTTTTGTTGCAAGGAGAGGAATTCCTGCTGGAGGACTTGTGGTGAAATGACCCTCTTACTGTATTTTGCGAGTGACCGGTCACAGAAAATCGGCAGAGTATCCCAAGGAGCAACCCTATGAGTGTTTTAAGCAAGGAAATCTCATGGAGGGGGATACTCAGGGATTGACAATTGTACTTTGCAAACGAAGGCTTAATGGACTAACAATGCTCGGCTTGTTTTCGAAAAGCTGTGAACTTCTGTAAGTATGAAGGACACTGTAGGAGGGATGTTTTGGATTTGAAAATACTTTGTAAGCATAAGAGACGCTGAGGTACTGCCTCCGTTCCTCGAGGGACGTTTGATGCGTATCGGCATACACTCTTCACAGTAGATGTGCAAAATGCACCTGTAGAAAGTCGTAGTCCGAGGTGGTGTATTGGGGCATGCACCTTAAGAGCAGATAGCCGCGCTGACCCATATACTACTGCACCATAGTCGAGGCGGGATCTAACTAAGGAGTTATACAGTTGCAGGAGACAGCGCCTATCAAAACCCGAGGACGTATGCGACAGCACCTTTAAGATGCTTGATGACATCAAGCATTTCCGTTTTAAAGTTTTTAGATGGGGCACAAAGGTAAGTTTCTTGTCAAAAATCACACCCTAAAATTTGTGCTCTTTTGCTTGACTTATATTTCAGTGCTATTAACATGCAAGGAAGGATCAAGAGATAATCGTCAGCGTAATGAAAAAGGAACACAGACTGTTTTTTCCGGAGAAAATTCGAAGCCATTTTCGTCTGCCCACTTACACATTTTATTGATTGTAAGTTACAACTGTCGTTCACAACTGGAGATGTCACAGGAAGACACAGAGACTTGCACACCATCCACATATAGAGAGTAAGCTACTGAAGATGGCATAATCTTAGCTAGACTGTTAATCTTAACAGCAAAGAGGGTAACGCTCAGCACTCCTCCTTGAGGAACACCCTTTTCTTGAAGAAAAACATCTGACAGTATAGAGCCCAGTTGGACTTGAAAAGTTCTTTCGCTGAGAAAGCTCTGTATGCACTGAAGCATGCAGCCCCGTACACCACAGTTGTATAAGTCACGAAGTATTCCATACCTCCATGTGGTATCATATGCTTTGTGTAAATAAAAAACACTGAGACACAATGCTTCCGGTATACAAATGCCTCACGTATAGCGGTCTCTATAGGCGAACCAAATGATCTGTGGTCGCTCGTCCCTCCCGAAAGCCGCATTGGTTTACATCAAAAAAATTCTCAGTCTCTAAGAAATGGACAAGACGACGATTCACAAGCCGCTCATAAGTCTTCCTTAAGCAACTTGTGAGTGCGATGGGACGATAGCTCGTAGGAATGGAAGGGTCTTTCCCAGGTTTCAAAAAAGGAATTATGTGGGCATGCTTCCAGCAACGAGGAAAGGCAGCGGCTTGCTATAGATTGATGAAAATAATCCCTGGAGAAGGGGAACAAGAGGGACAAAGGACAAACATAAATCTCCAAACACAGCTAGGTGACTGGTGAGCGACCGAAAAAATCCGCCTGGTCCGGGTATCGAACCCGGGACCTCTCCATTACAAGTGGAGCGCTCTACCAACTGAGCTAACCAGGGGTTAGACGTCAGTAGAGCAAACGGGTTTTATCAGTTGCCACCAGTCTAACACCAACAAGGGTGAAGCTTGCAAGTTAAGGTTGTAATTATAATGCAATTAAATGCAAAGGTGCAAGCGAGCTGGACAAGAATGATGAAAATAATCCCTGGAGAAGGGGAACAAGAGGGACAAAGGACAAACATAAATCTCCAAACACAGCTAGGTGACTGGTGAGCGACCGGTCACCAGTCACCTAGCTGTGTTTGGAGATTTATGTTTGTCTTTTGTCCCTCTTGTTCCCCTTCTCCAGGGATTATTTTCATCATTCTTGTCCAGCTCGCTTGCACCTTTGCATTTAATTGCATTATAATTGCTATAGATGATTAAAAAACGTTAACAGACCATACATAGATTCGGGGGACAGTTTCCTCAACATTTCATAGTGGAGTTTGCCTATCCCTGGTGCAGACTGTTTATTTGCACCAAGAGCGACCTTGAGTTCACACATTGTGAATGGTCTATTGTAAAAATATGAACCACCCTCCGACATCGAGATGGGCTGCTTTTGAACAGTCGACTGGAACTTCTTGCATTTTTCGCTAAACTTAGAGTCACCAATAAGCTGGAAATGCTCCCCGAGAACATTTGCATGATCTTTCAGTGATACAGAGGGGGACGAAAACAGAGGAGTTCGGAAAGATTGGTAATCTCCTCGAACTTTCCGCAGGCGATCCCACACTTCTTTAGCTGAAACAAAGCTATTTAGAGAAGATCTATATTTTTTCCATGATGTCCTCTTCGCCTGTTTCCGTGTCCAACGTGCCTTGGCCCTATATTTTTTTAATTCAATCAGGTTAAAAGCAGTGGAATATTGGCGAATTATACCCCATGCATGGTTCTGTTTCCTGCGAGTGACTGTGCAGTCATCATTCCACCAGGGTTTGCACCTCCGGGGCAGGACGGCGGATGTTTGCGGAATAAAAGATGCAGCAGCATTAATTAGACATTCAGTAACAAACACTGTCGCCTCCTCGGGGGACATGAAAAACACTGTCACCTCCTCGGGGGACATACTACGAAAGAGCAATGGATCCAGTACAGCAATGAAACCAAAAAGAGCCCAGCCAGCCTTTTCTAACTTCCACTTTGGAAGGCGGGTCGAAAGCGAAGGAAGGGGTATTGAGCTTTCTAAAATTATAGGGAAATAATCGCTGCCAAATGGATTATCTAAAACCTTCCATGGAAAGCACGGAAGTAAACCTGGTGATGATAAGGAAAGATCTATTGAAGTAAAGGTGGTATGAGCAGCACTAAAAAACGTTGGCTCCTTTTTATTCAGAAGACATAGCCCGAAGGATAATAAAAGTTGTTCTATAACTCCACCACGGGAATTCTGACGAAAACTACCCCAAAAAGGGTCGTGGGCGTTAAAATCACCTAGAATTAAAAAAGGCTTAGGCAGCTAACCTATGAGTCCTTGTAGCTCGTGGAGCTGCATTGGAACGTTGGGTGGCAGGTAAAGAGAGACGAGGGTGATGAGTTGGTCAAGGAGAACGCGAACTGCTACTGCCTCGAATGGTGTTTGTAGAGGAACCTGAGCACACACAACCGCGCTCTGAACTACTACTGCGACACCACCAGAAGAGTTAGGAGAAAGGCGGTCCTTCCTAAAAACCTGGTGACGGCGTAAGAGCTGTGTGTGCATGTCATTCAGATAGGTTTCCTGTAAACAGAGTGCCACAGGGTGAAGCTCATCGAGAAAAAAATTAGCGTCATCAATATTACGAAGAAGGCCGCGACAGTTCCATTGCATGATACCTAATTGTTTACACATAGCAGTGCTAAAATTAAAGTAAACTTTAAGTTATAAACTGCAAAAACGGGTAAAAACGGGTTACTAAGGTTTAAAATCAATTTTTATGCGCGGAGCGTTTATCTTTTTCGCGCAATCATTCTGCTTCCCACTAGAGCTAGTGGGAGCAGCGAGGGAGGACTCCGATCCCAAGAGGGTAGCCTCGTCGTCGGATCTGAGCACACACTCTTCCATGGTCTCTTCCGGTGGTGTCGTCAGTTGACCCTTAGGGGCCAACTGCTTCGACGTCTCACCGGGCTTCCTCGGGGCAGCGGTTCGGGGTGGCTGGCCCCGGCCCCGGGGGAACACAGAGGCAGGGGGGGGGGGGGGGGGGGGGTGATCCCTGCTCGGAGGTGGATGCTGGCGGGCCAGCACCCTCCCTGGGCTTGGGACATGGTACCGTTGGCACCGTTCCCGTGGGTTTGAATGGGGACTT